GTGATGTGTATCATGTATGTACCAAGTTTGAACAAAATCCATCCATAAACTACTGAGATCTGGTTCTGGAATGCTGGAAATGCTTGATTTTTGAAGATTTTTTAGCACAAAAATGGCCACCATTCTGCCATTTGAATGAAATACATCTGTATATCTATGTCATGATGTTTAATGAATATATAAAATTTGAACATAATCAGAAAAAGCATGGCAGATATATGGCACTAGAACTGCCTTCATTAAAACAAAATGGCCACCAGTCATTTTAAATTTGATCTGAAAAACAAAATGACGTGCATCAAGGTCCTATAATGTCTAATGTATGTACCAAGTTTGAACAAAATCCATCTGTTAACAGCTAAGATCCAGTTCCCGAATGCCAGAAATGCTTGATTTTGATGATCTTCAAAAAAATACAAAAATGACCGCTATTCGGCCATCTTGAATCAATCTTGAAACAAATTGATGTTCATATGTATAAAATTAGGTATGAAGATGAGTTTGAATGTAATTGGTCCAGACATGTCCAAGATGTAGGACACACAGATGAACGTAAGGCTGCATACACAATCCATACGTCCATAGGACTGTGTTCAAATAGGGATTAAATGATCACCACTTGGACATTGGACTTGGACTTGGACTGTTCATTCCACTAGGCCCTGTTTTTTGCTGTACCCAATTGAAGCTAAAAAAAAACAATTTTGCAAATTTTATGCAAGCCAATAGTGTCCCAATTTTGTAAAAAGGTATGTGTAAGAAACAGTTATCACACATGATACACATATAAAATATATGCAGTACTTACATCAAGCACAACACTACCCACAGCACAGGACATGGGATTACCACCAAATGTATTGAAATGCAACACACCTTGCATACTATTAGCAATTTCTAGAAATAAATAAATAGTTATTAACAGAATACATCATTAAATCAATAGTTACATCATTTTCAATGTTGACCAAAACATTTTGTCTCATTTCCGGGGACTTAACAGTATATTACCTTATATTTTATTTGACTTAAGAGGTCACCATATACAGTAAAGTTAACATGTGTTATTCTGCTCACAAATAAATGTCAACTGTTATTGACACTTGTAAGATTACCAGGGTAAACTCTATTTTTAAAAAGTTTGGCCAAAGACATTTTCATTAGTGCACAGGTTTTTTTCTATAACTATAGTATGTAGCTTTTGATAACTATGATACAGTGTTTTTATTATTTACAATTTTTAACAGCATCTTAAAACAGACATTGTGCAATGAATTCTTATGTGTGTATTTGTTTATATATATAAGCTGTAGTGTTAACATTTTTAACTGGCACACACAATGACCAAGAAAATTAATGTTAATGTCATTTATGAAAAAATCGAAAAGAGAAAATACCAACCTGTTGTTGTTACAACTGCTGCCATTGGGAAACCATTTCCCATACCTTTTGCCATGGTTACTGTAAATAATGCAATAATATAGTATATTTAAGTACCTTATATCTTGTTAAAAGCTTCATACAAAAAATGTAAGCATTTCTGAATGA